AAAATTGTATATACATAGGGTGCACAACTTGATGTTTTAATATGCATATACATGGTGCATTGATCACCACAATCAAGTAATTATTGTATTCATCACCTCACATAGTTATCTTTTTTTATTTGTGATGAGAACACTTAGCAAATTATAGATATAAAATTACACAATGAAGGATTGTTAACTATAGTCACCATGCTGTACTTTAGATCTCCAGAACTTACTCATCTTGCATAACTAAAACTTGGTACCATTTAACCAAATTGTCTCCCTTTCCTCTATCCCCTCTGCCCCCAATTACCTCATACTCACCATTCTACTCAGTGTTTCTATGAGTTCAACAATTTTAGATTCTATATATAAGTGAGATCATACAGTATTTATGTTTCTGCATCTGTTCTATTTCACTTAGCACAATGTCCTCCAGATTTACCCATTTGTCACAAATGGCAGGATTTCCTTTTTTGTAAAGGCTGAATAATATTCCGTTGTACAATGCATGTAATTTTTGTAATGACCGTAACAGGTCAAAGCAACTATTTTCATGAAATCTGCTTTAAATATATATATCAGTTATAAAATAAAGGAAAAAATAGTAACAATCTGTTTTCACCTGAATACAACTACACACATTAAAATGCTATTGTCTCAAAAAGTGAATCATATATCATAGCAAGTTAAATGGCATGGAAATGTTATATTTAGTTAAATCTCCACTCCATATCTAAAATGAATGGGGACTAATGAGAACAACCATCTCTCCCAGGATCTTATAGCTATTTAAAGGAAAGTTCCATCCCCTGACTCACCAATTTGTAACTGCGCCATGCCTATATAATGTATCTTCCACATGATTCCTGCTTTCACACATCATGACCTCCTTCTCCACACACTTTTACCCAAGTGACCCCCAGAGAACTTGGCCTGAGAGTGTAGGCAATAATATAGTCATTTACAAGAATTTCTTGTTACATATGCCTAATTAAATTATAACAAAATTGTGTATAATCCTAAGAAATTCTCAGCTAAATACTACTATAGATTGTATTTTATTAAAAATTATATTACATGTGTGTGTAATTACCTTAATAAATTCTACCATTTTATCAGCTCCCAAGGAAACACTGGCATGAATATTCCTGAACCAACTACCTATGTGGTCAGGAGAGGAAATAAGACTGAATAATGAGCATTTATTCTAGCTGAAGAGGTCTGAAATTGGCCGGAAATGTGCTTTTTTTTTTTTTTTTGGCATTGTGTAATCCCAGCTTAATTTTTCTAAGGGATAGCAGGGATATTGCTTGCAAAACAGAAATGGAGGTTTATCTTTCACAGTCTAAAGTATTCCAGTAAGTCATAAATCAACTGGTCATTTCTCCATTTAATGATTTACCACCTTATCAAAAGCATCTCCTTGTTAGGTTTTTATGAGTCTTATCATCTAGAGCCAGCCTCCAAAATTAGACCCTAATAAATTATTAGCTGCATGTCTAGATGTGCAACAGCTGACTGAAGAGTAATAAAAAATCCCTTCTTCTTTTCCATTCAACTGGGTAATTAGTCTGTATTCACCAGCACAATGTTATAAAAATCTGGAAACGATTCTGTAACTACATTCACTATAGGTGGCTGAGGGGAAAGCTTGGTCAAAATGGCTTTGGAGAAAGAAGGTCAGTAATATTTGACTGTTTCTTCTGATCACATTTAGAAGTCTCAGACCTCTACCTCCCTCTGTCATCCATCTGTAGACAGAGGCAGATATCAATATTTTGATTTACAATTTTGAAAATCATAGGCTTTTCAAGTATGCTGTCAAATTTCACCATTCTTGATTCAGATTCCACTAATTTCAGAAGTCGAAATAATGCTAGCAATAGATGCAAAAAGGACACTTTTTAAAAGCAAATCCTTTCCTTCCTGGTAAATTTGCAAGCAAACTATGTATATGTATATATATTTTAAAGGAAGAAGATATTTTGTATTCCTTCAGATAGTAAAAGTTTTCATGCATCTGAGAAGTATCCTTTCTAGCCCCATTTAGATATGTAGGTATGTTCTGCCTTGGAAGATCACAGATAGAGTAGATAGATAGGTAGACAGATGGAGGGAAGGAAAGGGAAGGGAAGGGAAAGAATGAAAAAAGAAAGAGAGAGAGGGAGGGAGAGAGGGAGGGAGAGAGGGAGGGATAGAGGGAGGGAGAGAGGGAGGGAGAGAGGGAGGGAAGGAGAGAAGGAAGGAAGGAAGGAAGGAAGGAAGGAAGGAAGGAAGGAAGGAAGGAAGGAGGAAAGAAAGAAAGAAAGAAAGAAAGAAAGAAAGAAAGAAAGAAAGAAAGAGAAAGAAAGAAAGAAAGAAAGAAAGAAAGAAAGAGAAAGAAAGAAAGAAAAGAAAGAAAAGAAAGAAAGAAAGAAAGAAAGAAAGAAAGAAAGAAAGAAGCAAGCATAGTACTGCGGATGGTAGGTAAAGCATCTAAGAAGTGGTTGGAGAAGCTAGGATCTAAAGAAGGCGCCCTCACTCTCACTTCATCTCATTCCTGACCCCATCACCCTACGAGTCAGGAGCTGTGAAAGTATTACCCGCACAAAACCACCAAATGGTTCTTANGAAAGAAAGAAAGAAAGAAAGAAAGAAAGAAAGAAAGAAAGAAAGAAAGAAAGAAAGAAAGAATCTGCAGATCACTAGGGACCTAAGATCTATCATCATTCCAGTTTGTAGATCTAAAAACTTGATATGCTTGATTTTCTTGGGATTGATCAGCCTCCTGGAAGCTGACTCAGCCTAACAACCCCACAGAAGAATATTTATGTTTATATTTAGTCATTTTAAAATTTCACTGGAAGACATCTCCCTGACCCAGGTCTAAGGCCAATCATCTGCCTTCTTATGGAAAGATGTATTCAGCAGAAAAGTTTGGTCAGTGGAGAAAGAATTTGAACCAAAAGAGTTGACATTCTCTGGCAAAGGTCATATTGATACTATAGAAAAAGCAGAACAGAGTAGCTAAAGTAAGTGAGCTGATGTCTGAAGCAAAGGCTTACAAACAGCCCTACTTTCTCCGGGTCACCACCTTCAAGATTCAGTCCAGAGATCTGACAGGACAGAGACTCACTGTAGATGGTACAGACACAGAAGATCAACCAAAGAGGGAATAACCCTTGTTAACATAATCCACAATAGGTGAGTGCATATGGCAACACTCTCCACAAAATATTTCCTGCTTTTCACTTTCCTGATACATGGTAGGATTGTATTCCCTCCCACCACCACTGATATTAAACATGCTCTTTAGTTTAGGCAAAAAAAAAAAAAAAAAAAGAAGTGAAATGTGTCATTTCCAGGTTGAAACTCCAAGAAGCAAGATGTTATTTGCCACATCCCCTGCTATGGTTATTATAGATGCACGGAGAGGAGTACAACGAGCAAGGAAGGCCCCATGTCAACCTTGTTGGGCATGTGTGTCAGAAAGAAAGAAATAATTGTCGGGCTAAGCCCCTGAGACATTGCAGTTGTGTATTACTGAAACATAACCCAACCTACGCTTCCTATTGTGGCGTATGTCCTGGAATTAAAAATTGCTTTGCATTGAGGCTTCTTAGAGTCAGGGTCCATTGACAACCGAATTAACACTTAGAAGCTGACTTGCTTTTTATATAATCAGAACAAAGGGAACTGAACAGTGTTTTGAGATGCCTGGGAAAGCATAATGAACCACTACTGCACTGTAATAGTGCATGCCCTCTGGTGATGGCATTAGATCCACCTGCCAAAGACCTCATTTACTCATTCATTCATTCATTCATCTAACAAATATGTATAGAGTGCTTACTACATGCCAGACACTGTGCTGGATCCTGGGGATATGAAAAGTTGAGACAGTCCTGCTCCTTACAAATGTATTGATTATCTTAGCCTCTTTACTCTCTTTCTTCTAGATTCCATGAAGATCATGTACTTTAAACCAGCACATACTCCTTTATCATAACTGTTTAGGCTGCCACTTGCTTTACTTATGTTTTTGTTCTAAACATATACTCTACATCAGTGCTTCCCAAGCTATCATGTTTCTTTTAGAATCCATTCCAGACTAGTGTTTAAGTAAAATATTATACAATAAAAATGAGTTACTAGAAAAGTATTTCGTGTAATTGAATGCCAACACAACGGCGATAAGCTATAAAAGTTTCTAAATGATTACTTGCAATTTCGGTACTTCTTTCTTTCCAGGTGGACAAAAGTTCACTGACCATCACTGGCCTGTGGACTATTTTCTGAGAAGGACAAGCAGTTAGGACCTAAGCAAATTAAGTGTTCTGTTTTCATTTGTAAAACATTCTGCCTCTGAAACACCAAAGTTATAAAGTTTTTTATGCTGGGTAACCGCTTCAGGTCAGCCCCCATTGCCCATTCAGCAATGTTTTATCAAATCAACTCACTTTTTATATGGATACATTTTTTAAAAATCTCTACTCCATGTAAATAGAAAATCCATTTCACTTGCCATAAATAAGATGTAATTGTGCAAAGAAGTGTTATGAATAAGTAGTTATTCAAGTCTAGGGAAAGAGTGGTTGCCTGCTCTGAGGAGAATTCAAATCTTATTAACGCAGAACTGAAACTTCCTACTTGACATAATCAGAAAACCGAGAGAAAACTAAAGAGAGTTTTTACTCATTATGTATTTCAATGCTATGTAATCCCCTATTTATATTCCATCTAAAATCATTTCAAGGACCAAACAGTAGTCTCTCTATCCTTCAGAAAACAGGGCAATATTTTAACTCTCCCAATATAAGGACTATTCCAAGTTGTCTACCATGGCTATGTCTCTCTACAGTCACCAATCACATGGATAACTGAACACAAGTGTCAAAGGTCACCAGTTCCTTTCCTTGGTCACCCTGTCATATGGACTACTGGTGCTGTAGACCATAGGCTCCCTTCAATTCTGGACGTAATACTCTCCTCAGGTCTACACAGTCTTTATGAGACTTTTTTTTAAGCAGACTCCATACCCAGCATGAGGCTTGAACTCACAACCCAAGATTAAGAGTCTTGTGCTCTTCCAACTGAGCCAGCCGGGCACCCCCATGAGACGTTACGGAGTCCTATTGCAGCATCTGACATTCTTGAATACAAGAAACTAACTTGTATTTTCTTCCTTCTTCCAATAATAATCAGTTTATTTTCCTGATGAGACAAGAAAATTATTTTTTTTCATTGGAATTCCTCCTCAGGCTCCTTTGTAGCTACAAGGAGAAAAACTAATTCTTGCCCACTTAGTTTTTACTGCTGTAAGTGATTTAATCATAATCCACAATTTTTAAAATAATATTTTGCATGGTGGATCCAGAAAAACATTTACAGAATCCACCAGCAGTGAGATACTATGATTAAAATAGGTAATTCACAAAATAAACATAATTTAAAAAACAATCATGATCCACAGTTATAATATTGGTCATATCAGACAGACCTTAGAGGTTTGGTTTGGTCTCTCTGTTTTCATATATCTAACAACACTATCCAACTTTAAGCATTACTTTGACATTAGGGAGCAGAGATTCTAAGGACAGAAGAGGCACTTAGCCTGAATTTACAATTCAAGTTGTGAATTCTCTGTTAATTGCCCCCAACTAAACACCAGACCTGGGCTTCTGTGTGCACTAGCTGCAAATATGCACGGTCTGAATATTTAAATTTGTGTGGTATTATTCTCAGAGATGTAAATATGAGCTGAATCTTTATAACAACGGAGAGATCCTTCCGCAGGCATCGCTTACCTAATGTTGAACTTTCATCAAAGAATTTTTTCCCCCAACAAACTGTTTCAAATAATGCTAACCATACAGGGTCTCTTCTCTCCCTTCAGGATATACAAACCACAGAATTCCGATGACTCACCCCAAAATAGCTTATAAATATGCCAGGGGCGGAAGGGCATGCTGTTTGGTTCTCTAAAACTTCCTGCCAAACTGTAGAAACTGAACGTACACAGATATTTGGGGACTAACTGTGAGTAATAATGAGAATTTAATCCCCTTTAGTCTTCTGAGTTAGCAACAGCTTGCCTAACATGTCCGGTTACATCCTGTTTGCTATGCATGTGACTCCTCAAAAAAATAATAATATAATATTAATAGCACAATGTTTCATTGTTAAGACTGCTATTATCTATGTCAATGGTTCTCAAACATTGGCAGCCATTTGTAGACTAAGGTCATTTCTTGGAAGAGCTATAAATTCATGGCTTTATGAAACAAACATATTATTGTTATTATTATGTCTTTGAAATAAAAAGTCAGGATTCAAGGTATGGAATTTTAAGGAGCACAAGCTCTTAAAGAGGAAAGACAGTTATGTATACTGATTAAAATCTTGAGTTTGAATCGCAGTCCTTTTGCCAGCTAGGCCACCTTTAGCAGGTACTTGGCCTAAGTCCTAATTTCCCCATATGTAAAGTGAAGAGAATAGTAATACTGTCCATGTTTAGGATTAGGATTCTAGGTCCAGAGGGTGAGGATTCAATAGGGAACACCCCTGAATAAGGACTACTGTTAAATAAATAAATAATCTAGTGCTATCTCTTTTTTTTTTTTTCAAATAAGGAATCTGAAGACCAAAGCTATGATGTGACATAAGAACAGCCACACACTCATCACTTGCAGTGCCGAACAGAGGTCTGTAAATGCTATGGGTCAAAATGGGCTCCACAGCCTGTCAGCCCAAACAGCCCAAATTCAAGCCGCAGTTTTCATTCTTGCTAGTGGTATAACCTTGGGCATGTCACTTGGGCATGTCTGTGCTTCAATCTTGTGATCTATTAAATATTAAAAATAATATTTAAATGGCAAAACAATAGTAAATATTAAAATATAATTAAAATGTTAAAACGAGTATTATTATTAAATACTATTAAAATTATTATATTAATATTAAAATAATAAGAGTAATTTTCTCACAAGTTTGTTAGGACAGCCTAAGAATGTAATATATAATGGTGCCTACTCAATAAATACAACTACAATGTGGAAAAGTTCTAGTTCTTCCAAAAACAGATTTTAGAGTAAAACACACACCAACAAAGTCAGGCTTGAAAAAACTATATCCATAAAAACAACCCAAACCTAAAAAAAAATAAACAACTCAAAAATTTACTTGATGCAGTTTACAGGGTCATCAAAGTACGGATGTCTTTTCAGATTAAGGTACTTGTCTTCTCTAACCACATTTATGTGTCACATTTCCCTTCTCTTATAGAGAAAGGATGCCAACAAACAGCTTAATATTTCAACAACAGCCACAATTGTTGAAGAGTCATTTGATTAGAGTTTGAAAAGAATGCCAGTATCCAGTTGCCCTTGACATTTGTGGAAGAAGTGTAAGGCAATGGGAAAAACACCAGACTCCCTTTTCCAGTCTAGGCTTTGCCATTTGACAAGCTATAGTCAAGTTACTGGATCTCTGAGTTGCCATCTATGAAATGGGGACAGCTTCTGCCTTGTTGTATATACTACATGGAAACAAGTTGGAGACATGTTTCATAAATAGACTTTGTTCTATTTATACATATGTGTTGTTACGGCCCTTTAATTGAGTAGTTTGTTCAAAACTGTTCTGCAATAGTTAAGAGTCAGAAATATACTTTCCTCTGCTTCTTACATACTCAAAGGACACAGAGACTCTCGTTTTAAGGAGTGGTATAGAAGAGACACAGGAGAAAACCTTTCAATCTCAGAGAAAGAAAGAATTCGAAACTTGCCAGTATTGCCATGTGATAAAAAGGCATGCAAGACTATATACTTCCCCATCTCTTGACAGTAATTCGTACCCATAATAGGTGGGTAAGATGTATTTGTTAAAAGAATGGGCAAGGCACGAATTAAAGGATTTATGGTGTCCTAAATTGTTTGAGGATTGTAGGGTTTACTGTATCTAACCTGACACAATTAGTGTGCTCTAACTGGCATCACTGTATCCCTACTCCCACCCAATTGTTCCCTGATTTGAAAATCACTGACCCAGGCACAGCCATTGATGACCTCCAAGAGCTATATGCCTATAAGTGCTAGCACCTTAACCAAAGGTTTGAAATGGGACCATGGAATAGACAAAGAATTTCTCCTCAACTCATCACTTGTCTTCTAAGCAATAGACTATACTTTGTCTTTGAACTGTTTTGAAATTCTGCAAGCGATTTCAATCCTGAATCGAAACCAAGAGGTCAAAGGACCTGAGAAACCACACTTCCTACCCTCAATAGGGTCATTTCCAAAAAAGAGAGAGAAAAAAAAATAACTGCATGACCTTTGGACTCCATTTGTCTCTTAAAGCACCATAAAAAAATGAGGAATGTTTTGTGATGCGGGATGGGGGCCTGGGCAGGTATGGACCCATATAGCTCTTCACACCTTCTGGGGAAAAAACCTGCTGAACAGAACTCTTCTTGAGGACTTCAGGGTGTACCACAGTTCAGGCTCCTCCCTCCCAGTCCCCAGTCATAGCGGACCCGAAGCTCAGATGGAGACTGTGCTTCAGGGTTTCACGTGTTTGCTGGCACAGCACTCTTAGTACGTCACAGCCTCACCTGACACTGACTCATTGCTGGATGGAAAGCCAAGGCCTAATTGTGTTAGTCGTATGTAGCTCTCCACTTCCAGCCAATTAATCTAAGCCCTTTCAGAAACGGTCCACCAACTTGCTTTCCCCCTCTGTCCTGAAAGAGATCCCACAGACTCCTGAATTCTCTTGCCTCCACTAGTTTACTCCTGCCTCTTCTGATAGCTCTCCTCCCCCGTTACTGCCCACCTCTGTGTCAAACCTAATGCAGACGCTGGCAGGCTCTCAATAAATATTCATTCCACTCAATTCAGTCTCTCTTGGAGATAAGAGGCGGCAAGGATTACCAGATTTCCTAAATACATCTGAAAACCCATTGCCTAGGGTCAGGGGGACAGGAGGTTGTTTCTTTACAGAAAAACCAATTTTCTCAAATGCACAGCAGGAAGCCTCAGTACAGATACTGTGTCTTACTCAAGCTTTATAAAAAATTCAACATGTCTGTCACAGGAGCTTACGGCTTCCAAGGCAGAAATTCTCAATCCGTAACAAATTTCTCCCAAAGTAATAGATGGTTCACGGACATCAGAGAGTCGAACCCAGCATGAAATATGTATTGGACAAAAATAGCAAAGAGTCAGCTCTTGTTTCTTGATATTTCAAACCATATGTTTGCCCATTTTCCATGGCAGATTCCTTGTCCTGTTAGTTTGTGTACACATTGTGCCTTCAAAGTGCCAGGAACACACACATTTTGGATTTTTTTTTTGTTACAGAAATAAAGAATGGATGGGTATGGGATTGCAAGAAATTAGGAAAAGAAAATGAAAAAGGAAAGAAGAAAGAAAGACTAAGCTTGTGGACAAATGGACATTTATTCTGTGAACATAAGCACTTTAGTATGATTTTTGTGTGAATTAACATCTTAAGTCTAAAAAGGAGCCTTTGAAGCCCAATTCTGTATACAGTGGAAAAAAAGACAAAACACCTAACCCTTGAGTAAATTGGGGAAAGGAAGTTTCAACACACACTGTTAAAAAAAACATATCAAAGTTATTTATTATAAAAACACTAGACAAGTGGCCAAACAAACCTAATTTACCAGATCAGCATATTCTATATTTCTATAATTTGAGAAAAGCCATGGTAGGCAAGACTACAAAAAAATATATGCCCACATACATAAACAAGCCAATAAGCAAAAGTAGGTTGACCTCAAAAAATTGGGGGACTTAAATAAAATAGAAAAGAGAATTTCAGGACAAAATCAGGAAAGGTGTTTCACAAGTGCACATATGTGGAATGACTTAAATTAAGGCAAGCAGTCACCAAGGGGTGAGAAGAAGGTAGACCAGAACTGTCCCTCTCCCTTCCTGAAGAAATCAATGACTTTTTATTTTTTAAGTAGGCTCCCCACCCAATGTGGGGCTTGAACTCATAACCGTGAGATCAAGAGTCAGATGCTCTACCAACTGAGCCAGCCAGACATCCTAAAATCAATGAGGCTTACTTGTAAATGAAATTA